TCGTCGAACTCAGACCTTCCTCTCGGCCGCGGCTTTATGAAGGGCTCGGAAAGACGTTTTCCGCAGTTACAAACCCGGAGTCGGAGAAAGGCAAGGGGCACAGAACCATTGCAAAATGTGGAGTCCAGCTCTCAGACTTATTCTCAGATGAGACTGAAGGCGGGGAGGAAGTCCAGAGTGCGAATGCGGCAGTAGCTCCATTTGTGCCCGCCGGGCGACTGGAGGATGCCTTACCTAGGCTGTTCTCTACGCGCCCGCCCATGTCATGGAAGAATCTGGCAGAAAAACGCACGAAGAGGGGGTTGGCAGCTCACAAAATGATGGTTGCCAGGGACAAGACCGAAGCGGGGGAATGGAGGACTCCTCGTATGCCTGTGGTTCACAAGGACAGCGGAGCCGAGAAATTGCTCACAGGAAGTAGCAGTGGAAATGGTGGGCGTTGAGGAAGTCGAGACCGTACCTCTGCCAGAAGCTACAACCACGGCTGGGGAAGACTAAGACGACGCAATAACACTGCAGTCTGCTACGCACACGAAAATGTTTTGATGAAAACCATGTGACACTGAATTCTAAGTAAAGACTGCGTTTGCTTGTTGGAATGTGCTCGTCCTTTTCTCGTTTTCCGGATAGAGAATGCTTACGTTCCAAACGTAAGTGATAGGGAAGAAAGGCTCATGTGTGAGACGCGCGTCTGCAAGGTCTTTTTGAGTGATGTCCAAGTATTGCTGGAATGAGCGCAGAATGTAGTACGTGCTGTACTGTAGTAGCTCTTTCCTAGCCAAGTTATTATTGCTCCCCTGCCCGAGAATCTTTTCATCATTCAGATGAGCCGGTTAGAACGTGCACTATGAGCTCGTTAATGCCCGGTTTTCTGGTGCACACCTCAAGCCCTTTTACGGGAGGGCAACTGCGTATGCGCTCAGCGCTTACATGAAAGAGACCTTGCGCCTTCGCTCGACGCGCGAGCGACGTGGCGATAATGCCGGATTGGCTTGGGAAGTTGAGTTGCAGCACGGTTGGGACGAACAAGGATATAGGTGCCTCTACGAATACCCTCAGCACACACCTCGCACACTACGGGCCCGGTCCCAGTCGTCTCTCACTCAAGAGGTCCCCAGAGACGAAACGTCGTCCTAGCCCGCACTCGGACTCGTCTCTCATACGGAACCTATCCGGGCTGGGCCCCTCTCAGATGTGCTGCTGAACAAGTTTTTCGATATCGCCTCGTCCCGCAGAAAAAAAGGCCCGCCGCAGTTTAGAAACGGCTGAGCGTGTGGACCCGCGGGGGCTGTCGACGAGAGATGACGAGCCGAAAATCTGCATGGCGTCGATGGAGGGAGAGAAAGGGGACAGATGCTACAGAGGAGTCGATCAGGACAGGCAGCGAGCAAGCGACGACGGTGATAAAAATTCTTCGGAAGGCAGTGTCGCGGAGAGTTAGAAAAGACTGTAGAGTGTGGAAAGGGGGGCAGCTTGGGGCGAAGACTTTTCGAGTGTCGAGATCGCGAAGGATTCGTTGAGAAATGTTTGTAACTGTTTGTTTGGTGCAGGGAAGCGCCTGTTACTGTCGCTGTTTGAGTGCGCAAAGCTAATCAAGGGTTGGGACGTCGACGACGACAGCAAGCAGTGGGACCAAGGGAGTGCGTGGCATCGACGTGGAATCGGAGGAAGCGGACTGCAAAGATAGCATGCAAAAATAGCATGCATTTAATTGGTTGAATCGTTTGAATCAAAGCGTATGGCGCCCAATGACGTCACTTCTTGAGAGGTCGGAAACCGGGATCGCGGGCGGAAGACACTCGGAATGGATGAGAATCACGTCTCGACGCCCAACGAGATACAATGCGTCGGATGGTGCCGGGGTCACGGGCAGCGAGCGACATGCTGATGCTGGGTAGCAGCCACCCCTCTTCGTGCAGATTCCAGAGTTTACTTGCTTCGACCCTGTTTACTCCAGTGCTGGTGCTCGTCCATAGAAAACGACAAGCACAACTGTGCATGCTTCAAACCAGCAAACATGATCACATATATGGGTCGTACATTTATGCATTTTCTGTGTACACAACTGCTATCGCCAGGCGTGGCAAGGGTTGTGATCTACTCGTTTCTGCCCTTCTGATCGAGGTTAAACATGTAAAAAAACCGCACAAAACACACTAAAAGCACAAGAGCTACATCTGGATGAAAGGTTGTCTGACTGAGAAGTTCTTGCAGGATCATTATTGGCATGTGAAAAAGCTGCGCACGTACGTCGAATCCATAAAAATTTTCAACACCGCATAAAGAACGGCCGTGTCCGCTCTTCTTTACAATTTCCTGTAATATGTTCGAGTATATTCAACCATGAATGTGCAGCATTCTAAATACAGTACCTTCAATGGATATGTGTACGTATGTTCATGTTAGGATCAACTGTCCGGAGAAAGAATGTAATGATAGATACTTTTTGGCGGATCCCATCGCTCCCCTATTTCGGCCCGTCATCTCCGTCATCTGTGTGTAGCAGAAAATACAACCTCAAAACTCAAAATCCCACCAACAGCAACAAAAAAACTTGTGAAGATTCGACAGTGACGGCAGAATCTCGATTCACGTCTACCGACAGACGCATGCAACCACGGCAAAGCACCGACGCACCCCTAAACCAGAAAACATGCATCCCGCTCATTCTTGAAGATGATGAAGATATTGAAGATGACGTTTTTCGAATCCCCATGCGCACACTGTCCGTCTTTCGTTCTACGATGAATTGTGAATCGCAGTTACGGTGCAGCTCTTCACGTATGTAGAAACAAATAGACCCGGGTGTATCTAACTGCGCTCTCCTGGATGCACCGCAAACCTCAACCAACCTCAGTTTCGCACAACTACCCTTTACCAACTGCTCGCCCGCTACGAATGCGAAAAGTTCGTAACAAGCTCTGGAGGTAAGCAACCTGAGAACCATTTTCTATGTCTAACTTTTCTCTCCACTCCGAGGTGTCTCCTGCCACCGAAGATCCGTCCCCAGTTCCGACCGTCATAGAGAGAACAGAGAATCACGGCCCTCAACGACACCTACCCCGCTCGTCCCCTTTCACCCGCAGCCCCCTTGCAAAAATCAGGCGCTCCCTCTCTACTGCCGTCGGCGGTGCCTGGCGCTTGGTCCGCAAAGCTGGCCGCCCGTTCCGCTGCGCCTCCAAGCCTCCTGCTCAAACCAAGAGCCCCACAAATGGCTCTAATAAGTCGGCGCTCGCTCCATCAGAGTGCGAGCAGGGTCCCATGCAAACGCTGCCGGTAACTGACATCACCGACGAGCAATCGGGTTCTGATGAGTCGGACGAGAGCTGGGAACGCCGGGAGTGCGCGAACTGCCGCCTTTGCGTTGACGCAAGACGGCGCGAGGCCCTGGAGTTGAGTGGCAACATCGTGGAAGTCAGGCCTCCTCCCCGGCCGCAGTTCGATCGGAATCTGGGAAAGGAATTCTCCACAGTTACGAGTCCTGCGTCAGAGGCGGACAAGGAGGACGGGCCTGGTGTTGGAAGCGGATTTCAGGTCTCTGAATTGTTCTCAGATGAGACTGAAGGCGGTGAGGAAGTCCAGAATACAAATGCGGCAGTAGTTTCATTTGAGCGTGCGGGGCGCCTGGAGGACGCTTTACCACCGCCGTTCTCCACACGCCCGCCTATGTCATGGAAGACACCGGCAGAATTGTTCGCAGAGAGGCAGTTTGTAGCCAAAAAAGCGACTTTTGCCCAGGATACGAAGGTTACAGAGGACGACGCGGTCGAAAAGGATAGGGTTGCACTGCCGGAAGTGGAGGAAGTGGAGGATGCCATATCTCCGCTGAGCCCCACGCATCCATTCATGACGTGGAAGAGACCGCCGGGAATGCGCACGACGTGGACGTTCCGTACCTACGGCAGGGAAGCGACAGAGGACAGAACCGAGGCGACGGACAGGGAGGACGCAATAGAGCCGCAGTTCATAGGGCGGCCGCAGAAGTGTGGGCGGAACGTGCAAGATGAGGCGATGGGTGCTGAGGAAGATGAGATTACACCTCAGCAAGAAAGTATAACTATAGATGAGGGGGAGGACGACAACTGTATAGCGCCTTGGTTTGTTAGGTGTCCGAACAAGTCTATAATGTTGACAGACGTCGAGGTGATAGAAATCATTTGATACAACAAAGTAGATAAAGAATGTGTATGATTGTTGAATGTGCCCGTCCCTTTCGTTGGTTTTCTCGGGAAGAATGCCATGTCTCGATTGCATCTTCATGCGGTTGAGATCAAAGCTCGTGCAGTTCTGTACCCTTGGTACAGTTCTGACGTGGAATGGGATCATACTGTTGCACGCTTGTACTGTATGCTTGTACTGTATGCTTGTACTGTATGACTGTACCCTTCAGGTGAAGGGTACTGTACAGCACGAGTTGGGGTGGGACTCCCACTTTTCCATTAACGCACCTCTTCCAATCCAATATCTCCCACGGTGGGAGATACAGACGGATTAGAAGAGGTGGGTTAATGGAAAAGTGGTGCCCACGTGTACACGTGATCCACGAGTGGCAAACGCCGATTGGCGAGTACTGTACAGAACGCATGAAATGCATGCCGCCGTGGGCCACCAGGACTTTTTCGTCATCCCGTGTCCACGTGGATACGTGGCCAGCTGGCAGGGTGCGAGATGACTCACATGGCAGCGCGGGCAGATGGCGCAATTGCCGCCGGCGTCTACGGGGGGCAGAGGGCCGCCCACGGCGTGCGTCATGTCTGGTAGAAACGATTTGTGGACGCGTGTCGAATTACCAATGGCAGCGCGTCACAAGATCCTCCGCAGCAAATTGGTCCATGCTCCTCACGCTCTGAATTTTACCCCGTTTTTTTCCCGCAATCTCCGGCACTACAGCTTAAAGGCCTTCGCCGCTCCTCCCCGCCCCGCAACCACCGTCCACAACCACCGCCCTCTTGCTCCTCGCCTGTTCGCCCCCCCCCTCTGCCCCCCTCGCGATAACCACCATGTTCGCCTTCACCATGCCCGCCGCCCCGCTCGCGCTGCGCGCCTCTTCCTTCACGGCGGCGGCCGCGACGCCGCGCCGCCGCCATGTGCGCGCGGCGCGCCTGCCCCCGCGCGCCGTGCTCTCCCCCGTCGACTTTGATTCGCTGGGCGCCGAATGGGCGGCCCTGCCGCCCAAGGACAAGAAGAGCCCCACCGAGATCGTCGACCACGCGCTGGAGAACTTCCCAGGCACCGTCGCCATCGCCTTCTCCGGCGCGGAGGACGTCGTCCTCATCGAGTACGCGTCCCGCACCGAGAAGCCCTTCCGCGTCTTCGCGCTCGACACGGGCAGGCTGCATCCCGAGACCTACCGCTTCTATCGCGAGGTCGAGAAGCATTACGGTATCAAGATCGAGTACACTTTTCCGGAGTCGGCCGAGGTCACCGAGCTTGTCAACGAGAAGGGCATGTTCTCCTTCTATGAGGATGGCCATCAGGAGTGCTGCCGCGTCAGGAAGGTCCGCCCGCTCAGGAGGAAGCTCGCTACCCTGTCGGCCTGGATTACCGGCCAGCGGAAGGACCAGAGCCCCGGCACCAGGGCTGAGATTCCTATTATTCAGACCGATCCAGCTTTCAAGGGCACCAACGATTCCGTCTTGATCAAGTATAATCCGTTGGCGAATGTCTCGTCGTCCGAGGTATGGGCCACTATCCGTGCTACAGAGGTCCCGTATAATGCGTTGCATGCCCAGGGCTTTACGTCCATCGGCTGCGAGCCTTGCACGCGCCCGGTCCTGCCCAACCAGCACGAGCGCGAGGGGCGCTGGTGGTGGGAGGAGGCCACGCAGAAGGAGTGCGGCTTGCACAAGGGTAACATTTCCACTGAAGCGGGCGCTGAGGAGGCCGCGGATGCGTTTGCGATCGAAAACATCGCTGGGGATAAGGTCGTCGTCTTTACCAAAAAGGGCTGTAAGTACTGCGCAGCCCTCAAAGATCTATTCAAGGACATTGGAGTTCATTACTCCGAGCATGAGATCAGCGAGATGGCTAACTATGGTGATATCGTCGCGGCATTAGAGAGACTCACTGGGCAGACAACTGCCCCAAATCTTTTCGTAGGTGGCAAGCATATCGGCGGCAATCAAGAGACTCAGACCATGCACGCTGACGGGAAGCTCGTCCCGTTGCTCGAGAGTGTCGGCGCCCAGATCTCCGTTTCGGCGTGAGTTGTGAGTATCATATTTTTCCCCCTGTCAATACGCTTTAGAGTCTACCACCACATGTACTGGTCGCCCCTCCGAAAAGTTTTTCTCCACTACCTCCCCTGCAGCGCGAAGAACATCGCCTGCGCCTCCTCTTCCATCCGCACCAGTTTGCGCACGGCCGGCTGCAGTCGCTCCACCCGCTTCGCCGTCTCCGAACTTACGTCCATCTCTCCAATCTTCGACCCGTACATCACGGGTCCCGCATCCACGTTTTTTCGCCTTAAGTCCGGTCCAAGTTCCTCGATCCGTCCTTTGAGCCGCTCCTCGATCTCCCCCAGCAGCTTGCCCTCGTTGTACCACATCACACATCCGCGCGCTGTCACAAGCTTCCTGTTGTTGCACACCCCTTTTCCCTTTGTCTTCTTGCACGTGTGAAACCACACAGCCTCCTTTTGCGCCGCCACCAATGAAACTGCAAGCCCCAGCCGTTCTGCCCTTCCCGCGCGCCCCACCCGGTGAATGTAGTTTTCAGACTTGTCCGGCAGCGTCACATTGACTAGGAACGGCAGGCCGACGATGTCAATCCCCCTCGCAGCCACGTCCGTACACACGAGAAAGCGCACCTCTGATGCCTTGAAGGCGGCCAGCGCCTGGTTACGCTCCTCTTGTCTGCGCCCGCCATGTAACACTGAACATGAGTATTCCACCTCCGGCCCGGAGTCGTGGCGGCCTCGAAACCTTCTCGAGGCCACGTCGCTCGCCGAGACGCCCGAGCACTGAATTAGAAACGACTCAACGTTGTCTGCGTCTCTCTGCGTGCGCACGAAAATCATCGCCTGGCTCATCGCGTTTGCGTCGATCACCTTCTTCAGAGCGATGAGCTTGAGCTTTTTGACGGTTTGCGATCGCAGATCCGCGGCGTCTACACCGTCGGCGATGCCGGCGTTCGACTCGGCTCGCGCCTTCTTGTTCTTAGCTCGGCCCTTGTCCTCGAAAATATGGACTTCGTCAAGGGGCCACTCGAGGCCATCAGGACATTCGTCAAGCATGGCGGTGTCCGCATCGGCGTCTATGCGAACCATGGTGTGATGGAGTGTTTCGGGAACTGCTTCTTTGCCCTTCAAATCCACCCACGTCGGGAACGACTGGATCTTGTCCGACAACGCCCGTATTTCGGGAGAGTGCAGTGTAGCAGAAAACAGCAAAGTCTGGACGCGGTTCTTGGTCGGCACTTTTTCATGGAGAAACAGAATGTCCCTAAGATTGTCTGTTGCAAACGTATCCGCTTCATCTATGACGAAGAAGCGGATACTATCCAGCGAGAGAGTGCGCTTCTTCACGTGCTTCACGATCGATCCAAGGGTACCGGTGACAATGTCAACACCTCGTTTCAACATGGCCAGTTCTGTTTTCTGACTCCCCCCTCCGATGAGCAGCAGGTGACGAACAGCTCTGTCAGGCAACTGCTTCCCGATCTTGGTTAGCTCATTCTCTACTTGCCCTGCAAGTTCTCTGGAGGGCTCCAAAATTAAGGCCAAAGGAGCCTTTCCTTTCTCGCCAGCCTTCTCGCTTTCCACCTCACGCATTTCCTGGTCCCCGTCTTGGTCCTCTTCTGCGTATTCGTCAAACAAAGCTTGGGCTTCCTCCGAGATCACTGCATCGGCAAGGGTGGCACCCGATATATGCTTGAACCCATGCTTTTCAGCTGTGGTTGAGCGTTCTTGCAAAAGGATTTCCAATTCGGCATTCTTCATGGCAAGTGTTGGAATGAGGCTCATGTTGTCGAGACCGAGCTCCTTCCACGATACATCGAACGCTTCGCCAAGCTCCTTCTCATTCAGCGCGAACGAAATGAGGACTCTTGAACGCTCGATGTCCTCACAAAGCTGAAATTCAACCATGCAACAGACTTGGTCCCCCGTTGTGTACGGCTTGCCGTATGCGTCAAATGAGCCACCATGCGATCTCATACCGGTGCCGCCATAGCCAAAACCCTTTTGATCCGTGCCCAAATTCAGCTGGGCGTGCACTGAGCTCCATCCCATACGACAGATACCATCATCGCGAGGTCTCCCGATAAAGTACCACTTTCCGCTCGCTACCCCACGAGTAGCGCGCACGCCTTGCCAAAAGGCGCGATCTCGACACTGGGCCAAAAATCCATCAGCGACGGCGACGTGCTTCCCTCGGTCAACCTCAGACAATTTAATTGGACCGGCCTGCTCCTCTGCGGTAGGGGCTGTCTCGCTCAGGGTGGACTTGGATAGGTTTGTGTTGCGTGTCTCGTAGACGACTTGGGCAACTGGTAAACAGAAGGCGCCTGTCTTTCCAGAGCCCGTCTCTGCGGCAACGGCTACGTCTCCACCGCCCAGGATTAGCGGCACGGATTCGGTTTGGACCGGGGTCGGTAAATGCCAGCTCATGTCGTCCAGAGCTTCAATTAGCTCCGGCATTACGCCGAGTTCTTCGAAGGCGGACATTGCGAATGGTGGTAGACGCTTGAACTGGAGATAGAAAGGTTCTTTCGTTGGATGGATGCAGGCTCTCTGCCCTACACGGAAGGAGAGTGGCGTACGTAATAGAGGCCCGAAAACGAAACCACAAACCTGCTCTCCAAGTCTTAGAGAAAGAGCGAGAGGGAGTTCATGACAGCGCTGCCATGAAAGGGCGGTAAATGCTAAAGGGCTGTTTATCTCGGTTTAGGGAGTTGCCAGCGCAAGGTTTGTCTCCAGTGCAAACTACAGTAGAGGGGGATTTTGTAGACTGATCTTAAAACGAAAGATCCAACGCGCTCCAAATACAGCGATGCACGATAATTCAATTACCCTGTTCTGAACAGTAACAACCTTTCTTGAACCCTCACGAGAGCCGAGACTTCTTAACTTTCCTAAAAATCCTTTCGACACGTGTAATATTTGATTTTATAATCGTATCGCCGTGAGATGGTCATGAATTGGGTCCATCCAGAAATTGCCAGAATGATGGCACCTCTATCATTGCCGAGAAGGAAAATGATAACTCTTTGATGACGTGAACGGTGTTACCGTGTTGCACAACCACAGAAAGAGAGAGAGAGGGATGGTCTTAATTTACGGCGCGAACGGTGCCATGTATGGTGAGTGATGCACGTTACGCAACAGAATATAGTTTCTTCTACAAAATATCATTGATGTGCTACAGTATATATATATTGGCTTCTGCAACGCAATTCTTCCGCTGCAGAAGCATGAATTGATGTGCGATTGCCTTGCCCGTTTCAGAATATTGGATTGATTTGCAGAACTGAATAGGATATATACAGAAAGCAGTGCACACGGCTGTGCGCGTCTCAGTTGTCCCTCTAGACTTGGCCAAAAAGTGTATGCCGTTGACGAGGACATATATTTTTTCGCAGTTGAAGCTGTCTCAAATGCAAACCTGGAAACAAACTCGTCCAATTTTATGGGGCGGCTGAGATCAGCTTCAAGACGAATCATCAAGAACGGATTGCAAACTCCTTGAGTTATGCTTCAGTTGCATGCATTTGCACAACCATACGATACTGACAAAGGACTGAAAAGTCTACGTGAAAGTGAACGGGGTTGAAAAGCCTTTCATTTATGCTCGGCTGTTGGTCCTCGCGAGGGAAGAACAGTGCATACTATATGAGAAGAGAGGCCATAGCGACGACAACCGCTTTTGGAATCCGGAAACCCCTGACAATAGGCTGCATCTCCAGCTCGTAAAATGCAGATGTTGTCGGAGAGGACACCTGACGGAAGACTGTTTCTTCAATGAAAATAGTGACAACTTTCGACCTGACAGTGCTCGAGCCGTGAAAGTGAAGAAGCTGCCTCTGCTCGGCTTTAGAGCCGGAGCTAGATTTTAAAAAATGGTGCTGTAGATTTAACAAGATTAAAGTAGGGGGCGGCTTGGTCAGAAATGCTGCAACTTACATGCGATTTTGCTCTCATAGAATAGAGAAGTTGTCGAGATCGCGTTACAATCTCGCCCTACCTTGCACAGTCTGAGCAGCAAAGCCAGCGAGGAAAGCAGGACCAAGTTTAATATGTGTAGGAAGCTCGTGAATGAAGACAGAAGAGTCACCCGCGATGTTTCCATACCCCAATGGAAAGAAGCGCGCTCACTTGTCGATGACATCATCGTGTTAGAGAGAGGGAGGGGAAAAGGTCTTTGACTTGGTTGAGACACTGGGATGGACATGTGTTCACACGTATTTTTTTTAAATCAAAAAATACGGCGCACAGGAGAAATAATTCACCCTGGGGCTCAAAAGCTGAAACAGCGGGGGCAACTGCGGGCAACTGGATGACGATTTCGGCTGATTGCACCCTGCGCATCATACCGAAAATTCCCAACCCCCGATCCATCTTTTGGTCCACCACTTGGCATTTCCCCCCATCCCATCCTATTTGAAGCGCAAATCGTCTCCTACCCGCATCTACATGCCCTACCGCCTCCTTATCCCCACCCCCGTCCCCCGTTAGCTTTCCTTTCTCTCCGCCACCGACCTTTCATCGCATCCATCCTCGTCTCGGCGTCTCCCATGACGTCGAAGGACCCTCTCCCCGCCTCTTTCACGCCTCCCCCATCCCCTGCCTTAGCTCCTCTCCCTCCTCTGGCAGTCCTCCTCGTTTTCAGTGTGCTCTCCGCCGTCCATCTCTTCATCGTCGCAGTCGTCCCCACCTCCACCTTCCCCTTTCTGACCCGCTTTGCCCCCATCCAAGTCTCCTTTCTTGTTTTCCTGTGCGGCTATTCTAGCACCTACTCCCACGCCCTCTCTCACAAGTATCACCAGTTTTCCGCCTCACGATTCTATGCTTCCCACTTCGCTCACCTCTATCCTCTCTACCTTCTCGCACTTTTTGTCCACACATTCGCCTTCTCCTCATCCACCAAGCCTCTGCTGCGCTTTTTCGCCTCAGCCGCTGGCCTCACTCCGTGGGTTTCCCCGTCTCTTTCCTTTCCGCCCAATGATGCCCCCATCATCGCCTACACTTTGCTCCCATGTCTCGCACTGGCTTATCTCATCTTTCCCATTCTTCTCGACCTCCTTCCAAGATATGATACCGCCAATATCCGTCACGTACAGCTCACCATCCCGGTCATCACATGTCTTGCCTCGCTACAGGCATTCTGGCTGTCTCATCTCCCAAACACAGACGAGTCTACACGTTCCATCATGTTTGTTGACATACTCGCCTATCTCCCTTTCTTCGCCCATATTCCTGCATTTGCCCTGGGCATGGCCACCTGTCTCTGCAAGCTTGCCAAATTTTGCCCTTCTAACGCTAATCCTTACCCATCTTTTGACCGCATTTCGGCCTCCCTTGTCGTTACGTCAACTCTTGTCGTCGTGCTCATTCTTCGCTATCAACTTTACCCACTAATTGAACTCTATTCGGCCGAGGGTGCCTATTCGTTTGTTTTTCATCCGTTTATATATGGCCTCTTGCTCGTGTTTTATGCAGCTGTGGTGCAAACCAGTGTCTCGTTTTCTTTCTATAGATGGAGTCCGGGACAGTTTCACCCACGGCCTGCGGACCGCGATCCCGTTTTGGCGTCTCAAATCCGCCTTTATCACACTGATACCCCCCTCCTCTACCACCTCTCAGGCTTCGGCACAACCTTATACATGATTGCGGCTCCTGTTTGGCGCTCGCTTGGTGCTGCCGTCTGTCCTATCGACAAGCGCACCACAGCTCGGGTTGCGTATTCAGCCTTTCGACGCTTTGCGTGCTCGGGCCCCAGTGAGGTCGTCGCCCCCACACCGCAACCATTCGAATGGTTCAGCATCTGGCCCTGGGTTCACGGTCGGACTAATGACCTAACAAGTGTGGTGGCAAGTGCGGCGGAGCGGCTCGCCACACCCACGACGATTATGGGCTCCCGTGTAGCGATGTTTGTATACTTGCCAGTGCTGCTTCTCGTAGGCGTGGCGGTCCACTGTGGTATCCAAAAGCCGCTGGCAGCGACTCTTATTGCGATGCACGAGCGGTTCTTGCAGGCAGCCGAGGATGGAAGGCTGGTACATTCGCCTTGGCTAGCGCGGATTGCAAAGGCTTTTTATTTAACCCCGCAAGAAAGAAAGCCGAAACGGGAAGGCTCGATCATGGAGCGAGTTGCACGGGTGATGGTTTACTATGCCGTGATGATTTTGTTTTTATGGTTTGTGTTTCATTTTAGCCTACCACTCGGGGACCATATTGCAAAGGCGTCGCTTGGATCGTGGTTTTGCTGGCTTCCGGATTCTATGTATAGCTGCAATGAAAACCCTACTAACGATGGACCAGCAGGGTTGCTCGGAACGTTTGGTATTGGGTCGACCTTTTTAACGAATGTTGTTGATGTTGTGCGATGGGTGTCGCTTCTGACTCTGCCGACAATGATTCTGAACGTTGTCGGGCAAGTGGTGTTTCCGCGAGCGATCTGGAAACGTCTGCCAACAATCTCCGAAATGATGCAGCAAGGAAAAGTTGTTGACGAAGAAGCAGGTGTGCAAGAGATTGGTTTGGTAGTGGATACGACGGACAAGACGGATATGACGGATATGACGGATAAGACGAAGCTAGACCTGGACTTCACGTTGTACTTTCGATATGTGACTAGGGGAGATAACGCGAGATTAGTGAGGGAAAATGCGAAGAGGGCGGCAGCAGTGCTGAAGAAGAGCGGGCTCCCTAGACGGATGTGGAGGGTCGAGGTGGTGACGGATCAAGGGTTGAATTTGAGTGATGAGATTGACGACCCAGGAGTGTATGAGATTATTGTACCCTTATCGTACGAGGCAGACGGAGGGGCGCTGTACAAGGCTCGTGCGTTAAATTATGCGATCACGGCATCGCCAGCAGATGAAATGGACTGGATTGTACATCTGGATGAGGAGACGCGATTCGATGAGGACACGGTTCGTGCAATTATGCAGCATTGCGGGCGGGAACGTTACCTTACCTGTGTGGCTAAGACACAGAGGTGGCCACGAATCGGGCAAGGTCCGATTCTGTATGGACGAGGGATGGCGGACTCGACTGTGGCAGGTGGCGGAGACGTAGATAATGCGAACTGGGTGACAACGCTTGCCGACTCGGGACGGGTATCAGACGACTGTGGACGGTATCGGATACAGTACGAGTGCGGGGAAGTGTGGGTAGGTATGCACGGTTCGTTTGTGGTAGCATGCAATTGCGTGGAGAAGAACGTGACGTTTGACCATGGGGTGGAAGGGAGCATTGCAGAGGACGCGTTTTTCGGGATGATTGCACGGTCGCGTGGAGTGCGGTTTGCATGGATCGACGCGTTAATGTTCGAGCAGAGCCCGTTCACGCTGAAGGACTTCATCAAGCAGCGGGCGCGGTGGCTCGTGGGCGGGCTGCGCGTGGTGAGTAGCAAGCGGATCCCGTGGCGGTTGAGCGTCGTGATGCGGGTGTTGACAACGCTGTGGGCGACAATGCCGTTGACTTACGTGGCGCTGCTGATGGGGCTGCTGATGGGGTCCGGCAGCGCGGAGATGTCGCGGATGAACTGGTACTACTACTACGGGCTGCTGCCGCTACTGGCCGCGGCGTCGGTGTGGAACTATGTGTTCGGGTTTTGCGTGACGTTCTCCGTACGGAGACTCGGGATAGTGAGGTTTGCGACGCTTCTGTACGCGCAAGTGGTGCTGGCGCCTGTGTTCGGCGTGATGGAGGTGACGGCTGTGAGCTACGCGCTGGCGAATTTCCGACGCCTCGCCGTAGGATTTCATGTGGTACAAAAGGAGCGAAGGCGGGCAGGAAGAAACGGGGCCGGAGAAATGGAAGGCCTGCTGCATAGGCGGCAACGAGCGAGCTCACGGGCGGGAATGAGTAGTGCGTCGTTGTAACGCACGCGCGATTGCTTGTGAACACACGTGCTGTCGCAGAGAAAGAAGAAACGGTGACGTGTAGAGGACGTCAACGGAGGGAGAGGGAAACAGCGCCGGTGTACAGGATGACACGAGGTGACTGCTGTCGAACCTTTTTGACTGGGGGCGCACATGTGTGCGCATGTGCTGGTTGAGTGATGGGGATTCTGGTGTGACACGGCAGGGCGAGCGGGGGGTGAATCGGCTAGTGCAATGGCGAATGGGGTTGCCTGTGTGGCGCCATTTCGCAATTGCTGCGGTGCCTTACGGGGCTTCCAGACGGCCCGGCGTCGGAAAAAAGATTCCTTTTTCTACCACCCGCCTCTGATACGCCCAATCAACGCCGTCTGCGTCCGCACCTCGCCCGACGTCCGCAACAACCCTGAAACAGCTCACCGCCTTTCCTCCTCACCTTTTCTTTTCTCCGTCTCGCATCCCTTTACTTAAGTCCTTCCCTCTCTCTTCCGTCCTCCCCCCACATCCCCAACAACAACTGCGTTTTCAACCTCCATATCTTCCACTCCCACTCCCCCCCCCCCTAACCCACTATGGCCGCCTTCCTCCCCGTCGTCGCGCTCCCGCACCGTGCCGCCCCCGCTACCCGCTCGGTAAGCCGTCGCCCGCCGCGCGCCATACTCTCGCCGGCGCCTTCGCGCGCCGTGCTCGACTACGAGCGCTTCTTGGGCCTGGAAACCTCGCGGGGCAATGCCCTGCCGGACGCCCCCGTCTTCGAGACGGCAGCCGGCGCCCTCGTGTGCGAGTGGCCGTCACCGTCCCACCCGACCCAGACGGGAGACGGTTCCGTCTCTGCCATGCTCTGCATCGTAGACTACGAGGCCTTCCTCGCCACCGACCAAGCAAAGGGCGTCGACCCGTCCGCCCCAGTCTACTGCACCCCGGAAGCCGCTCTGGTGTGCCATTATCATGACTGATGGCACGGGAGTTTCGCCCCTGCTCATCCTTGTATAGTCGCTAGATTAGGGGATCCACCGCCCCCGCAATATTGGCTTTTCAACACTTGCTAACTCCGTAAACTCGATCTACTACTTTCCTCCTCTTCTTCTTCGCTTTCGCCTTCGCAATCGTTTGCATCTTCCACCTCCATCACACACCGCCGCAGCCTTGCGCACAGCTCCCGATGGATCCACTCCCGCCCGAACGACATCTCGAACCACCAATTGACGGCCATCGTTACCCCGGTCTGCCGCACGCGATGGACTATCGCACAAACGCAGCACAACCCCGCAAACACTCGTCAGCACCTCGCACCCTCTCCCGCGTCGCCCACTTCCCTTTTGTCTCAACTTACACCACAGCGCCGGCAAGTACAACAAGTCCCCCGCCCTTACCTCGACCTCGACGCCTTTGCCCCACCGCTCATCGATCATCTCCTCATCCACCCACTCGGTCCACCCCTCCACCTCCCTTGTCCGCCACCTCCCGCTCTCCCGTCCCCATCGCACGTTCCGCAGCCGCGGCTTGGGCAGCCACGCCGCGTCGCACGGCGGCCGCAGCTCGAACGTCTTGCACCCGCTCACCACGGCGTACACGTTCTCGAACGGGTCCGCGTGCGTCGTCGTCACGCTCCGCCCGTCCCCGATCCACACGTTCGTCGCGCTCGCCGCGCCCCCGAACGCCGTCTCCGCGAACCGCACCGTGCCCGCGTCGACGTCGCATGCAACCTCGCCTAGCTCGCGCGTCAGGCTCGAGTCCTGCGCCGAGTAGTACGGCACGGCCTCGTCCGCCTCATCCCCCGCGCCCGGCCCCACTCGCAGCGACGACAGCAGCTCCGACACCCGCTGCCGCTCCACCTGCGGCGCTGCGAAGGCGCGGAACGGGCGCCCGCGCGCGTCAAGCGCGTGCACTACCGCGTCTGCGCGCCCGTCAGGTGTTAGTGCGACGTCGACTTCCTTGTGCCCCACGGTGCGGCGCAGGTGCGCAAAGTCGTGGCCCCCCCAGAGACCTACCGCCGGCCAGTGCGACGCTGCCCCGCGCCACACGCATGGCACGGATGGCGCTACGTGGTCCCGCAGGAACGGCACCGCAGAGCCTGGCGTCGTGTATTCCGCGACGCGGTGTGGCAGCCACAGGGCGCGAGAGTCGTCGTAGAGGGACTGGATCGCTTGTGGGAGAGAGCTGGTGGGAGGCATTGGATGGGGAGCGCACGTGGACGGACGGCGAGCGGGAGGCTGTACAAGTGTACGGGATTGCTGATCCTTGCTATCCCTGGACCACGGCTCCTGTCCCGACTGGTACAGGCCTGCGACCTTGTAGTTTCTCTGTCTGCCTGCCTGGCGTAGGAGTGCACAGTATGAGCCCCAATTGGGCAACAGAGAGGCAATTGGTAATTGGGTACAGTATTTGTCGAAAAGGCCTAGTAGGCCTTTTCGACAAATACGTGCATACTAGAGGGTTTACGCAAGCGCATTTCTGCAACATATGACTAACATATGACTAACAAACATTACAGTTAGTCAGATTTCACAAACGGATGTGACAAAAATTCGTGAAATGTGAGTGCATAGTGAAATCGTTTCTGTAACCGTTTCGAACACACGTGTTAGACGTGGTATAAATTTGGCGGGTACCTTCATCACCTTTTATGTAGACCTGAGTTCTAGAGTGACGTTGTAACCACCTTTACTCACATCATGGCGAACGTTATCCCCTCTTCACCACCTCTCTCCCCTACCCTCGACCTCACCATCCCCAACACCCCCACCCCTGAGCGCAGCGATGCCAATTGCGCGCTTGATCCCTCCCCCCACAAAAAAGGAGGCCGGCGACCAAAGTTTACGCCGGAGGAAGACCTCATACTCGCACGTGAAGTATCTGCCGCTAAGGCACACGTTTCCGGGTATGGGGAAATCCAGAAGAGATTCGCCGAGGCGGGCGACGCGGGCAAACCTGAACAGGAATCTGTCCCAGACGGTCACTGCCAAGATCGTCCAGGACCGCTACAAGAAAATCCAAGGCGCTTTTGAGCGACGGGACGCTGCGGATAGAAGACTGTTGGGGGTTGGCGGGGAAATCGGAGAGCTCGACGAGCTGCTGGGGATGATGGGAGAAGCGCGAAACGACATGGAAAAGGAGAAGAAGGCGGTGGCGGCTGCTCAAGAAGAGAGAGAGGCTAGGAAAGTTAGAATTGGAAAGGACCTCGTGGCTTGTTCGCTGACGCGTAAGCGCTCCGACAGCGAGGAAGGAACCGAAGAAGAAGACCGAGAGGCTAACGGAGAAGAAGAAGGCCAACTGAGCTCTCGAAAGAAGCGCCGACAGTCAGTAGAATGCGCCTCCGGCGCGTTCCAGGCCGATCTGGAAAGCTTTGGCATGGCATTGCGCGATGCCGACATGGCTCGTCTTGCAATAGAAAAAGAGCGTCTAGTGCTGGAACGCGAGCGCGTTGAGATGGAACAAATGGAACGCCAGAAGTAGCGCGAGTTAAGAAGAGAAGAACGCATCGCGCAACACGAACTCGAGCTTGAAAAGTTCAAGATGATGATGAGTGCCTTCATGCAGACTAATAAGTAGCTCTACAGTACTTGTCACAAAAACAATAAATTCAGCCCTTTTGCGCCTCCTTTACTAGTAAAAGTGCCGTTTTTTGTACCTCCAAACGCCCTGGCGCTGCTCGCGCAGGGCTTCCTGCGGGGCTGCGGACGAAGTACGCTCGCTTCGCGGCCTGCAGCACGCGGACTTTGCGCGAAGCGCAGGCGAACGATAAGTGAGGACATGTTGAGGACTCGGAAGAGTAAAAACTTTATTGTTGTTTGTGGTCGAGGTAGTCTTCCAGGGTGAGAGGTGCGCAGAGAAAGTATTGGGAGATGGAGTTCGGATACACGCAATTTCTGAAGTTCGTAAGCAGCATAGCGGCGATATATAGAGCTCCAACAGGCGACTCTCCCGTCTTCATCTTTCTCTTGTAGTCCATAGTCGACCAGTACAGCTTCACTTCCTTGAAATACCACTCCACCGTCACTCTTCTCTTAGACATAGCACCGTTGAATGCGCGTTGGTGAGCGCTTAGGTTGGAGCCTTGATACGGTACTTCTAGAAATGGGCGCAGGTTGTATCCGGAGTCCCCATACATGCAGTACTGCTTCCCTCCTACGAACATAACTAGCGGTAAGGACTCATCCACTCCACTCCGGCAGTAGAGCGTCCATTCATGCCTCCTTCCCTCAATTGGTCCAGCAGCATGTAGAACCAAGCCATCCGGTGATGTGATGGCTTGGTATTTTAATGCATGCTTGCGCTTGTGACCATTGTACGCTACGTTCTGCACCTCCCCTCTACTCGGCCGAGCAATCGCAATAAGTGTACCAGCAATGAAGCCTGTGCAGTTGTCCAATGCTTCACATTTATTTTTGATGGCACATGCGTATAGCTCGGCCTTTTCAGTAAAGAAAATAGAATCTATGTCTGAGAGTATTAAATGTTGACGAGCTTCCAAGCAACTTTCCATTCCCTCCCAAAATATCTCTGACAGTTGCCCTCCATGCTTCCCGAACAGCATCTCCATGTCGCGCCAGCGTGCAGGTGTGGTCAGACGTCGAAGTAAGACACATGTTACGAGAAGCGGGGAGCATACGTAGCGATTCCTGGTAGTAATTCCCCTTTCCCATGCAACTGCCGTCACCATTCGGATTACATCTTGCTTGCGGAATCTGAAGAGAAAGAGGCAACATGCATCTGTTAAAGCATTGAAGTTAAACGAAAAGGAGGAAAGAGAGATGCGGTTAGAACGTTCAGAGAAGCGGAAGAGCTCACTTTGCCCGGACATACAGCGTTTGATACAGTGCATCAAAACAACACTTGTTGAAGAAGGTGAAGGTAGATGACGTCGTGCCATCAATACACGCAAGGCTGCCCTCCATTTCATTGCCCTTGCTGTGGCAAGGGTCACGGAATGGTCACGCTGACGTCCTCTTGCCATCACTTGGCGGGTGAATGCTATCGATGCTAGTACTCCTATGCAGTTGCTCACGTTCTACTTTGCGTATATGCTCGATTGTACTCATGACCAACCCCCCTAGCTGTAATTTTGGTTTGTGAAATTTTAGTCATATCCGTTACAGAAATCCTATTGCGTAAACCCTAAACTGTAGAGATAATGATCGAATCACTATGAATCCTTTCCATCACGAAACAAACCTTCTCTTTGCGTAAAGACTGAGATGTTGCGCAAAAGAGTACCCGTTATCATAAATCATATCGAAATGCAAGATATTCAATTTTTTTTACTGAACCCCGCCCTTTTGCGTATGACAGCGACAACCACAATCAAGATACATACTGTACTCAATTCACATAGCAATTACACACCTATCGAGCAAACACTCACCAGCACCCTGCTCAACCGCCTTCCGTTTTACAGTTCCTCTCTCAATATGCCGAGATCCCCCAACCGTTCAGGGGCTCGTGTTCCTTCTGCAAATGATGCTTTCGCAGAGAACATTGACGCAAACAATGCCTTGAGGCTACTCGCCGACGCCGCCGTTGAGCGCGAGGCAATCATATATGAATATGACATCGACGCCCTAAAAGAAGACTCAGACGAGGAATGTGCCTCCAGCTCCCCTGTGTTTGATAAATTTTACAACACAGGAGGTTCTGAGGCAGTCATCCAAATGAAAAATTTTGATGTAAATGACTTTGGTAAACTGTGGCTTCTGCTGCAAGATTATGTTAGAAAGTCTTGGAACGTCGGTCGAGGACGGAAGTAAAAATTTAGTGGCAAAGATGTGTTGATGTTCGTGCTAACAGCACTCAGGCACGGCGAGCAGTGGGACTACCTCGGAAGGCTCTTCGGAGTAAGCAGTCCTACATTCGAGCGCACCGTTATGAAATTTATCGACGTCGTTAACGAGAAACTTTATGAAGCTCTGGTTCTAAGTCTGGGCGAATCCTGGACTATGAAGAGGATCATTGAAAGGCAGCAAACGTTCAAGACGTTTCAATTTTGCCGCTATGCCACCGACGTCACTCTTCAGCAAGCGTATAGGCCATGTGGAACTATGGAGGAAGGTAAAAAGTATTTCAGCGGTAAACATAAGCTTTATGGTTACAAGGTGGAGGTATCGGTTCTGCCAAACGGTCAGGCAATTGGATGTTCCGATCATTATCCAGGGTCAGTGGCTGACATTGATATTATGAGAAAGATGGAGGAGTTTCATACCGAGGCTATGAGCAAGAAAGACGGAGAACTGCACATTGCTGATGTTTGAATTCTGTGTGACAAGTATGATAATAGCTGGGGTCTACTGGCTGACAAAGGCTATCAAGGATCAGGTGAATTTTTACGGTCCAATATTCCGAGACGCAAGCTAATTAATGGACACTTGTCGATACATGATGAGGCGCAAAACAAGAAGATTTCTTCAGATCGTATTATTGTGGAGAATTTTTTCCGGAGACTGCGCATAAATTGGAATATCCTATAAAGCAAGTACAGGTGGGCGGAAAAGAGCTATGATAAGATTTTTAGGATGTGTATCAGTCTTATAAATCTTCTATCAAGTGGCATCCGCTGCGGGCTGCTGATGGACCGTCATAACCAGATCAAAAAACGACAGTATGCGATTGGAGAGGAGACTGTCATGAAAAGGAGGCGTGCGCAGGAGAAATTTCGTGCGAAGCGCCGCCGCCGTCTTGGTCTGGAGCTGTATGCTCTTGATCGGGACAGTGATCGTTATGATTCCGTGCTACAGTAGGATATGAGTATTCGTGCAGTATTACTGTAATCAACAAGTACAAAAGGGGTACACACCCTCTCATAACAAGTGCTGAATAAATTTCAAATTTCTTCATATGTGTGTAGGAATCTGCCGTTTTCGGTAATGACTGAGTCTTTGTGCTTTTTGTCAGTCTTTGCGCACGAAGGTCGCATTCGCCGAGAATATCTAGTGGATCCTCGCTAACTGCATGCTCGGTTTCTGCATATCCTCGATTACTGCATGCGTTACGTGACACGTGGTTGGGACCGGTGTATGTAATTGGAAGTTTAAGTTAGTAATTGTAGACCGCGCGCAAAAAGAGTATAAACGTGGTGGTTTTCCGTTGTCCTGTACGGCCGAGGGAGACACATCACAAAAAAACACACACGGGTAAGACACGGGACGACGTACCCCGTTTTCGCCCTAACATGGTACTC